AAGGTTGACACCTTGCAACACAGCATCGAGCTCAGCCAAGTTGATGTGCTTGTCTTTGTGCACCGGTTGGAGCCAGCTTGCGTCTTCAGCACAGGCAGAATACCTGGCCGAGGTGGTAGCACCAGGTAGGGAAATTCCGCGCAGGACCGGATTCACCTTTAACTTGTGAAGGAAAGGTTCCAACGCAAGAATGTAAAGCATAGGCAAAAGCGGACAACCCTGACGAATAGATTGAGACAATACAAAAGGTTCCGATCTTACCCCGTTCACTTCCACCAGCGCACCGAGAGTCGCATACAAAAGACGGATCCAGGAGCGAAAGTACGGCCCGAAACCGGCAGCCAAAAGAACAGCCTCCATAAATCGATGGTCAACCCTATCAAAGGCCTTGGACTGATCCAAATTGATCAGCGCGGCTTCACTGTCGACTTTCTCGATGATCAAGTGGGCCATATGAAGGTTGTCCTGAATAGTCCTGCCATTCACAGCCAATCTGTTCAGAGCCAATCAGACGAGACAGGACAAGCTGCAAACGGTTAGCTAAGATCTTTGCCAAAATCTTTAACTCTGTATTTAACATAGTTAAAGGGCAAAAATTACCTATCCCATCCCCACCGTTTTTGTCCTTACGCAGCAACTTGATCACACCCCTGGTGATTCATTGAAGTATAGACCCCTGCTTCATCCAGTTGTTCAAAATCCAGCAAAGGAACAAAAACGGACGACTGCCTCAAGTAGACTTCGTAGGGAAGACCATCTAATCCCGGAGATTTATCCAGGCCAACCTGTTTCAACGCTTCCCAGATTTCCGACTCTGTGATGGGACCCTCGCACCTAGCCACTTCAGCTGCCTCAAGGCAGGGAAGTCGGCTAAATAGGCGTCGAACTGAGCAGGGCTCAGACCAAGCTCCCTGGTAAAAAGATCCCGAAAATAATCCCGAAAAGCCTCACATATGCCCGAGTTTGTAGTCATGGTCCGCTTATCCGGCAATATGACGCACGCGATATGCTGCCATGATGCATTCCTACTCTCCTCTGCACGCAATTCTGCAGCCATGTTCGTCGCCTCAGAGGACATTCTTTCTAACCTAGCCCTAACTACCAGAGATTGATCCTTCTTGATAAGCAAGGAGGCCAACTCTGCCTTAGCTAAGACTACTTCCACACTATCACGGGATTTAACTGCCCGATCCACTCTTTGCTCTAAAGCCGTTTGCGCCGCTAACCTATCTAGATTGAGTCAACGGCTAAAATCGGCAGCAAACATTCGAATTTTAGATTTTAATTTGTCCCACCAGGCATTTCCCACCACAGCCCCCGTCAGTTCCCTTTGTAACATTAGTAGCAGCTGGTCCCGGAATTCCTGCTTGCCAAATAACGAGCAGTTAAATTTCCAGTAACCAGCCATCCTAACCTTAGGCTTATCTAAGTTTACATGGACCCGGACAAGCCTATGATCCGAATAAACTATATAATGGAAGCTTGGACACCCTAAAGAGTCCTACATCGACTCTCCTAACTAAAACTTGGAAAAGAAAAAGAAAAAAAACACCTACAGCTGAGCTGCCACCATTAGTCAAGCCCAAACTACCTGCTGAGGGTGCTCATTCCGGTATTTGTTGACGAGATCGAATCCGTCGACAAAGTCGCGAAAATGGTTTCACGCCCCAGATGTTAGTACCCAAATAAAAGAATTTGACCGTATACGATCTATGTCGGGGTCAAGGATGGCATTCAATCGCACGCTAAAACTACCCGGACGTGATGTCGTCATAAACGTCCCGATCTGCCGAAACAAAAGCAGGCCGCTCAGTCTGGATATTGGGCCCATAAACCCCAATGAGAGGCAAAAGCCTTATCCTTTATGGTAACATCCAGCACGCAAAGTCTGGCCGATGAAAATCTGCGAAACAAGAACAGACGCAGCCTTCAAAGACTTGCTCACTAGCCAAGAGTCCCCTCGAGTGTCCATCAAAACATGCTGAATAAAGAGTAAACCCCTTAGACAGAATGCCTTCATAATCGCGAGAAGAAAAACGGGTCTCTTGCACACAGCATATATTCAGCCAGGAGCTCTCCCGATATCTGAGGAGGGACCTCAAATACGGCCACCCTGGTCCTTTGCCGGCCCCCATACTCTGTCCTTAGAATAAGGTCTTTTGTAATTAGTTCCTTTTTCGCCATTGCCAGGCAATCTTCAGGTGTGGACAGCAGTACGTCCCACATGAAAAACCCAGCACCTTTAATAACTCTTTGGGGTTTTATCCCCAGGGACAAAAGTGATTTAATCACTATGTCTTTCGTGGAGCGACAAATTTTGCACGAACGCTTGTCCACCACGAAAACCGACACCATTCTCTTTGCGAACACCTTGAGCTCTTGGACGTCTTCAAAGAGCCCATCTTTATTTACAAAATGAGCATATCCCTTAGCCTTTTCCAAGAAATCCGCTATGTTCACTATGCAACTTGGGGGGGACTTCCAGCCAGAGGGCGATTCCTCGGCTTTCTTCTTAGCTTGTGCCTCCTTCGGCACTTCGTCTGTTGAGCTTTGGCTTGAGACCTGCCTGGTCTCTCCCTTCTTAGTGCTACTAGCATGCTTTGCACTATCTTGGTCCTGCACATCAGTATTTGCCCGTTTTGAAGATTTCGGTTTAACAGGTGGATCGGCCTAAGCAGCTGCCCCCAAAAGGTCTTTTTTAACTTCTGACCGACTTACTTCGTCGGCCATTTTTAAAATAACTGGAAACTTCCACTATCGGGTCTATATATATTATTTTTATGTCCAACAATGGGGAAAGGAGTTGGGATAAGGGAAAAAAAATTAAACAAATAAAGAAAAGCCTGGATGCACCAGGAAATTTTAAAAAATACAAAAAAACAATAAACTTTTAAACAAGGGCTATTAAATAAATAAACTGGGAAAACTAAAAGTTAACCCAAATTAGAAATAAAATAAAAAACAAACTAGATCAACTGAAAAGAAAGAATAAAATAAATAGTCAGGTAGGACTTTTTTAAAAAATCAAAATGGCGCCCAAAGGCTGCCGAGAATAAAAGAAAAAACAATAAAAGAAACTCCTCTCTTTTTTGGTCAAAAAATAAATTCAAATGTAATATACAGAAAGAAAAAGAAAAGAAATAAAAAGCCTGGTTTGAAACTAGTCAAACCAAATTAAAAATTAAATGTTTGCGGCCGAAGTCGCTAAAGAAATAAATTAAATGCAAAAAGAAATACAAAAGTATTAAACTAGTCAAACCAAAAATAAAAGATTACAACTGAAGTCGCTAATTAAATAAAAATGAGGGAAGGTATAAACTAAAAAGGAAATAAAAACAAAACTTTCTTTCTTTTTCTCTTTTCTTAAATGGTACTTTTTAAAAACAAGAACTGAAAAGAAATAAAGAGAAATAAAAAGCAGTAATCCAGTAAGACTTTGTCAAACCGGACTAAAATAAAAAATAAAAATGCAGGCCGAAGCCCAGAAAAAAAATAAATCAAACAAAAGAAATGAAAGAAAGAAAAATAAAACTTACGAAATAACTTAACTTTTACAGAAGAAAGTTCATTAATTAAGCAATAACAAGTTCGTCAAAAGAAAATCCTTGTGGGCCAAAGAAAGTTCGCCAAATTAAGCAACAAAACAAATTCGTCAATCTGCAAAATATCGACGCTTCCGGTCAAAAAAAGGTCTGACAAGCAAAAATTTTTTTTGAATTGTCACCCAAGAAAAGACACCAAACGACTCACGCGTCTTTTTGTTGTCCTCGGTCAAGTCCATTATGGTACTCCAAGGTGTGCCCGGCGACAACGCACACACGCATGCTCGTTACAGAATCCACTTGCATCTGATGCAACCACAATCTTTAATTTAGAGTCAAATGAGCTAATGACAAATCCGATATTAAGACTTTCTTGATTTCTTCAAAAACACTTTGACATTTATATGTCCAATTCCGTTTCACATCTTTCATAAGCAGGTTATTCAAGGGTGCTCTTAATTAGTGCATAATTATATATATATATATATATATATATATATATATATATATATATATATGATAGTAATTAGCAAACCCTAAAAATGATTGTAACTTTGTTACATTTGTTAGAGCAGGCATTTATTTCTGTCGCCATTGAAGAATCAGGTTGTCTACTGTTTCTGCCGATAATTTGTCCTAAATATTTAAGTCTGGCCATAAACAATTCACATTTTCCTTCACTAATCTTAAAACCATATTCTTTGATTCTCTCAAAGACTTTCTTTTACATCTTCTGTATGTTGCTTTCAGACCTTGCTTTTAATAAGTACGTCATCCAAATATACTTGAGCACAATCCAAATAGACGAGCATGGTATCCATTATCTGTTGGAATATGCTTGGTGCTAACTTTATTCTGAAAGGAATTTTGTTGATTTTGTATAATCCTCTACGAGTGTTGATTGTCAATTGTTTTGAGCAGTCTTCATCCACTCGTACTTGTAGATAAGTGCTTGACAAGTCCAATGTAGAAAAAAATTTACCTCCATTCAATTTGCCAAAAATTTCTTCTGGACTTGGTAACAGGTAGTTATGTTGTTTTAAACTTTCATTTAACCCCTTTGAAAAATCAGCACATAATGCAGTTTTTATTACTAATGTTTTATTCTTTTTTGTAACGTAGACTGTTAGTGATGCCCATTTGGAATAGTCTCTTTTTGAGATCACACCTAATTTTTCTAGTCTGTCCAATCCATTATTAATTGGATCTAAAGCCACAAAAGGTACACTTCTTTTTAGCTTAAATATCGGTGTTTTATTATTTTTTAACTCAAACTTAGCTTTAGTCTTCTGAACTTTTTTTATCATTCCAATATGAACAATCCCTTTTAAAGATCCCTTCATAGACAAATGACAAATCATATTCATTCAATGTCAGAACTTTATACACGATTCCCATACAAAGACAGCATTATCAGAATACCATAACTATTATATAATAGAAATCAAAAGTACTTACTTGTGCAGGTGAGGCACTCAGTTGCACCTGTGCCATTTGTGAAACTGGAACTGCTACATTCAAGACATTTAGTACTTCCAACTAAATTTTGGTAAAAGTTTACAGGACATTTAGTGCATGGTTGGTTCCCAGTTAAAGAATAGTATCCTCTTGGGCACTGAGCTGAAAATTAAAAAAAAAAACAAGAAATATTAGAATTTTTTTTTGCAGTGGGGGCAAGACAGACAAGTAAATACTTACAACCATCAAATATATGTATCAAGAATCCTAGAAAATACTTTAAATAGAGGATACAGTGTGTTTAGGTATATATTTTGCCATTTTTCCTGGAGTGGTACAAGGAACTGGCCATTTCTCCATCATCTTTAGCAACAGATGAGTTCCACTTGTGTCTGTGTATAGTCATGATGATGCAATGATAGGGCATAGCTAGAGGAGTCAGGTACTTACTGAAGTGACACAAGGAACTGACCATTTTTCCAGCATCTTTAGAAATGGATAAGTTCCACTGTTTGGCCTATATAGTGATTATGCAATGATAGGGCATAGCAATCAGGTACTTACTGAAGTGACACAAGGAACTGACCATTTTTCCAGCATCTTTAGAAATGGATAAGTTCCACTGTTTGGCCTATATAGTGATTATGCAATGATAGGGCATAGCTAGAGGAGTCAGGTACTTACTGAAGTGGCACAAGGAACTGGTTATTTTTCCAGCATCTTGAGCAAAGTTTAGATATGAGTTGGGGAGGATCAGTTTATTATTTCATAATAAAAACTGGCCAACACAGACATTCGTGCCCACAAAAACAAGGTTTTATTACAAATGTAATCATTTCATTTTAAGCAGTGAATATAGTTAAAATATTAGTGCTGTCAAAAGAAAAATTGTCAGTCTGATACTACTTTTTTGTGGGCATGAAGATTCAAGTTTGCCCAAAACTTATCCCCCATTTTATGCCTAGTAGAATTTCATGTTATATAAGTTTTATTCATAATGCTGTTAAAAATTTAAGAATATTAATTATTTAAAATATTTACATCCACAGTCTTTTATGTATGTTTGATAAACCAGGTGCTGTAGTAAATTTCAATGTACTGCTTGTATAACAGGTTTGGGTGGATGCCAAGTAGGAATATATCAAACAATTCACAACTACATCACATCTGAATTTACATTCTGCCTCGTCAAGACCATTAAATTTCTTTGGAGAAGTTAAACTTTTTTTGATTCAATCCGTTTATATGTGCACTTTTTAACTGAAAAAAGTAAAAAAGAAACAAGTGAGAAAGAAATCAATGAAAATAATAAACAAAAGATATATATTACTTTAATTAACAGGAACAGATAATCATATTTTGTAATATTGAAGATAATTCTGCTTCAACAAAAAAAAAAAACTGTAAAAATTGATGCTCTATACTCAAGGCTATATACTAGTGTAAGCAGTTACCATTAAGATAAAAGTAAACAGTTGTGTTATCAACATAAATCACTGCTTCTCAAACATCATTAATTCAGGGTGCACTTGTAGAATGATGAAAACTATAAGGTGAACTTTAAATTTTGATATGGAAAATTAGTGAAGAAATTTGAAAATAGGAAAATAATAAACAACTCCCCTGAAATAAACATCTATTTTTAAGACATTACATTGTATATTTAAGTAATTTTGTGTGAAACCTTCGCTTGATGTGCTTTGAAAATTTGTGAATGTTTGGCCATTTATGTGATAAACATACTCTCATTTGCATTTCAAAAGCAGAGATTAAGATAAAGAGATTGTAGCGACGGACACAGTCTCCACTTCTGAGACTAAAAACTGACCTCCTTCTCATTCCAGCCCTTTACATAGAGCTTGGTAACTCACCTATGCAAAGCACCAACAAGCCAGCTACCAATCACAGTCCCATGCCTACCCACCTCCACTCGCTTTGGGGGTTTCAAGTTGACCGACCAACTCATTACAGCTCTAACCTTTTAAAAAAAAAGGTTTTTTTTTCAAATATAAAACTAATACATAAATTCCTCTTCAGCTAACCTAGAGTGCACAAATTTGAGAAACACTGACATATTGTTTCAACAATAATCATTGAGAAATCATACCAGATATTCAAGGCTATATCTTATAGGCCTATTCTTAATTATAATATTTTAATAAATCTTTTTAGCAGGAAAAAAAAAAAAAATAACTGGACAATTTACTTAACATCTTCAACGCTGAATATGAAAGAAAGATGTTGAATCAAAACATATTTTAGAACGAGATGAGAAGGGTTAATGAACAGAACAATGGACAGACCAAAGAGAGAAAGGAGATTTATTTTTTCCATTCCAAAAAACGTTTGATTTCTTAAGACTAGAAAATTAGTCAAAAGGAAAGTGATATCAACACAAGAGCCATGTGGTGACCTTTAAGCTGACAGCTGATTAATGAGGCACCTGCACAAGTAGCTGTTATGAAAACACAATATAAGCAGAATGGATAAAATTTCATCTGTATCCAAATAAAGGGAATAGAGTTTTTTCCATAACCTAGGTTGTGAAGTTCAATGATCCTGGTAGGATTGATGACTGACCGGATGAAGCTGCTGGTAATTTTTGCTTCTTCGCTTAGTTTAAATTTAACGTAGGTCATATTTGCTTGGTTGATCAGATTAAAGCCTTCACTGGCATAGTCTCTTTTCCACTGGTGGCCACAGTCTGTCTACTGAGTCTAGGTATGGAAAGTGTATGGATGCTTCAAAGTTCTTGTGACCTTTTTGCCGACTTTGGACTTATATCCAACACTTAGACAAAGGCAATCCATCACTTTCAGAATAGCACAAGATATTCTGACCAATTACTGGAAATCCTGTCACTACCTCTGCATTATGTAACATCTAGTAGGACAACTCTAAATTTCCAAATCACAGTGAATGCTAACAGAAACTGTTACCCTATCTTTTCCAAGAAGACATTGCAGTTTATAGATCATAAAGAAAAGGAAGATATGGAGAGCCATAGTTACCTACATCTTAATGCAACATGGCATTTTAAAAACTTCCCCAAGCTGAAAGCAAAAACATTAAAACAAAAGAAATATTAATGAAAAATAAATAATTACAAACAGTTCATCTTAGAAATTTATACAAAATTTATCAATCTTAATTTGATGAATAAATGAAAAAGAAATATTTTTTCAGGACCTACTGATTCAAAATCAACATGGATCTTTGTGGTTGATTAGATATCTAACAGGAATTATGATTGACCATTTTCATAGTTGGTGGTACAGTGTTACATCACTTTGTTGGCATACTTCTCTCTCTCTCTCTCTCTTACTCAACAATAATCCTAACAATAATTCTTATATATTGCATCACCACAGGCTTCAGTCTTTCTCACCACAATGCTGCATTATAGACTGTATCAATGAAAGGCTATTTCTTTGTTCTTATTTGCCTTATTATACCCAAAATTGTATGAGGTTTCAGCAGGAAGATGTCCTGGGGAACATATGCAAAGTCCTTACCATTAGCATTTCAATACATGTGACCTAGACTCTCTAAAGAATCTAAATGAGGAGGACATGTTGACTCTTCAAGATTAAAAAGCAATTTGCTATCTTTGCACTGTCTCATATCCAAAATTTAGATAAATGCAACCTATTACCTTAAAAATTCCATGCCTACAGGGTCTTACCACCCTGGGCTTCCTTCACATTCTATAACATAATTAAACTTATTACTTACCAACACATGTTATTTGATGGTTTTCAATTTTTACTTTTTCATTACTCTTACACTGTGTGCAATTCACATCTGAAGGAAAGAAATTGAATATTATTATAGATAGAAAATGTGACAAAGAAATTCAAAGGCATAGTAGAATGAAAAATGTAATTCTAAAAGCTAAATAATGTATTAAAAAAGAGGAGAATTTTGTGTCAGAAAGAAAAGAGTTCTAAAATTCTTTGTAATAAACAATAGGAACCCCTACAGAAGATAGTAAATGAAATCAAAAGGAAAAGAATAATGACCATTATAAGGACACAGAATCTATTATCAGCAAGAGGATGCTCTTGATATGTGAAATAAGTATTAGATATGACTATATCAAAGAAGAGAAATTTACATATCTAAGAAGTGTTTTAACAGATGATGGAGAATGTGATACTGAAATTCAAAGATGCCTACCATTAGCAAAAGATGCTTTCTAGAAACTAAACAAAGTATTGCAGAACAAGCAAATTTCAGTGAAAACAAAACAAAAGAGTACTGAAATGCTATGTAATATTTAATTTTCTTATTTTGCTTGTCTGAAGTTATTGTAGCAAATATAGTGAACAAGAACCAGAGTCAAATGGCAGAAATGGTGAACAAGACTTGCCTTATTCATGTCTTTATTTGGCATGTAGAACTTTGATTTGAGAGAAGGCAAGTGTGTCGTTTTGTCAAAAGAGAACCTTCTTTGTTGTCCCACAAGGAATTTGGTCATTAGCAACTTCACATAATATTAGTATAGTTGGACAGAATCAATGAGGGACATTAGTGTGTGTTAGTGCTCCATTCTGAGATGCCCATATGTCTAGTATATTTATCACCTTAGCAAGTGATCAGTGACTGGTAATCATAAGCAGACCATTATGGAGATGAGAGGCATCTTCTATCGGGGTACATCATACAATACATGCAGTTGTGATAGAATGAACAAATAAATGAACAACAAAGTTGATACAGGGAAGAGAACAACAATAAATACTGGGAAAATGATGTAGAGTGTAAAAAACGCCCAATCTGAAATTACATCCCAAAACAGAGTCGCTAATTTCTTTTGACCACAGTTATTATGTAAATCAAACAAACCTCAAAAACTCAAAAAATTCTTATTAACATCATACATGACATTGAAATCAGAAACACAGCCCTAAACATGAAACAAAGGACAAATTTCTATTCCTGTTCAAAAAACGGGTGATAGACAAAAATATCTACTCCTATTGAGATATTTTTTTTCAATATTGCAAACAGGTGAAAAAGTAATGAAAATAAAATATGTACCCATTAATTACAGCTACTTTGAAATTAATTTTGTGCTATTAAAACATTATTAATATTATTTGGTAGCCAAAAAATCTGAAAAAGCCTGTCATTCAGACTTGCAATAAGAAATATATCTTGAATGACAATCAAGCTCATTAAACTTTAACCTTTCGGAGACCATTTTCATGTTTCTTCCATGTGATGTCTCTCTTAAGGAGGTTTTAAATCAGGGTGATCCACAGCTTCTCAACCTTTGTAGCTCTAATTGATGGTCATCATTTTACTATCCTTTGTTTTTAAAGGTGAACCATTTTCAATTCAAGTATCTATACAGACAAATGACAAAACATATTTATTCAATGTTAGAACTTCATTTGCACAGACAACATTATCATAACTCCATATAACTATTGTATAATAGAAATCAAATGTACTTACTTGTGCAGGTGAGGCACTCAGTTGCACCTGTGCCATTTGTGAAACTGGAACTGCTACATTCAAGACATTTAGTACTACCAACTAAATTTTGGTAAAAGTTTACAGGACATTTAGTGCATGGTTGGTTCCCAGTTAAAGAATAGTATCCTCTTGGGCATTGAGCTGAAAATCAAAAAGACAAAGAATATAAGAAATTTTTTCTCTCTTAAAGTCTTTAAATCAGTAGAATAATAAAGGGCCCACTCTCATCCAAGGGATATCAGTCAGTTAAGTACCACACATGATACATGCTTGGGCGATCATGTATCTTTTGAGACATGATTGACAAGGCGTAAGATTTTTCCCACAGGAGGTTGCTATTTCTTTTTGTGGTTAACTGGTTGCCAACCAATGCTAAAGAACTTAGACTGTCCTACTCTTCAACCCATAGCTGGGTGTGAGAAGAGATGGACTCATACCTTTCTCAAGGGTAATTTTGTGTAAGTGAATAAAATGAATTTGACTGGCATTCTAACTTGGTTCGATGAGTTCATATTCTGATCTGATATGTATTACACCACAATACACATCCCTGTTGTTTCATGTGTTTCTGTTTTCATTATCAACCTTGGCAATGACAAAGAATGGAAGCTACCAGTGTGTGTAACATTGATGAGTAACCCTTTACAACTCTTGAATATACATATCAAGAATCCTAGTAAATTTTGAAACAGAGGATAGTAAAGAACTTCCTATGAATTATTTCTTCCAATATTATATAAATCACGGAAGGCAAGCAACATCGAGGCTGGTCAATATCTAGATGGGTGACCATTTGGGAATACCAGGTGCTGTAAGCATGGATGTGCTTGTGGTGTAATGAATAACAGGTTGAAATTAGAAATTGAAGAGCCAGTAGGTTCCATGATATTCATTTATGCAGAAATACTCTTCAGAATCTTCATGCCCTAGCTATAGGTTAATTAGTAGGACTTGTATCAATAAATGATTGACTCTAAAAGATTCTTACAATATCAAAATATTTTCTGATATTAAATAATCTATAAAAGTTTGATAAGCCATAAAAAACTCATTACTGAAACAGATAGGTTGAGTATAATATTTGCCAGCCTCATTATTCAAATTAGCTGAAGGAACAAGACTGCTCAAGAAGTAAAGATGACTATCAGAGTTAATATTGGACATGGTAAGAGTGGTTGATTCAAAGATTAAGCAAAGAACTTTCCAAATCAAGAAAAACCTTAAAAATCTATCTCAGTCATAATTTATTTCATGAATATTTTAATATTCATGTCTTCAGACCAAAAGATTTTTTACAAAAAAAAAACTTACATTGAGTTCTCATTGGATTAATGTCCTCCTTGAAATTACCCTTACCAATTGGTATTATATATATATATATATATATATATATATGACAAATCAAGTGCTGGTGCTAACTTCAGACTGAGTGTTACACAATTTAAATTTTAATAAAAGTAACTGGTTACCGTAATGTTGGTGTCGTTATATATTATATGAAGATTACAGTTTTTTTTATTTAAAAAATATATATTTGGCATTTAAAATAAATGTGATATATATATCTTATATCATATCATAGACAAACCACACTCCAACCCTCCTACATGTAACCATAGAAATAAGGATGCTTGCCCACTTAAGGGCAATGTGCCAACAAGAATGTGTAGTTTACAAGGTTGAAATACACAAAAATAGACCTAATAATAGTAATAAGAATGTTAAATTTTACATAGGATCCACACAAGGTAATTTCAAAAAGTGTTACTATAATCATTTAAGTAGGTTTAAGCATGAAAATTACAAACACACCACTAGCCTGTCGACATACATATGGAATATTAAATTGGATGATGGTATTGACCCCATTTTAAAATGGGAAATACTAAAAAATTGCCATAAGTATAAAGCAGGGGATAGGTATCGTCTTTTTGTATGGAGGAAAAATTAGCAATAGCCACCTCCGATGAACCTAATAATTTATTAAATCAAAGATCTGAGATTTTGAATAGGTGTAGGCATAGGAAATCATGATTATTGGAATAGAGGCTCTGTGTGTTTTTTCTTTCCTATCTTCTTCTGTCATGAGGTTTTATGATAATGAGTTTTTAGTGGTTTTTATCAATAAAAATTGTTCCATGTCATTTCCTCTTTAGCCAGTTTACCCTGAAGATCTGTTTAGGTGAAACCTAGGTAGGTTGTTCCTGGTTCTTTAGGATTTATATTATATATATATATATATATATAAAAGTGAACATTGAAGTCAACACTTAGAGGTGACAGGCTGTTTCAGGCTAGATGCAATCATCAGGCCACATGTGTTGTTTTTCTTTTACGGCTATTTATATATACAGGTCAGTGGTACGTTGTGGGTAGTCTATTTTGGTGGTTATTTTGTTGGAAGTCATTTATTTGCTATTTATTTATTTATTTGGGTTAGGTTTTTGCTTGTTTTTATTCATTTTTATTTTTCATTTTTATTTCCTATCTTATATGTTTATTTATTTATTTCAATTGGTGTTTTATTAATATAGTAAAAATTTGTTTATATCACTTATTTAATAGTTTTTTTTTTGGTTTGGGAAGATAAAATTATTTATTCAATTAAAGGGGTTGATTGACTGTAGAAAATTCTAACTATTATTTAGTGTGTCAATTTTTAATTTGTTTATTACTTCATTTATTCATTTGGATTATATCAATTTTGTTTTTTCTAACAGTAAATTCATTCATGGATTTCGTCTTATTTAACCTGTTTGTTTATTTATTTTTTGGATTAATTTATTTAATTAATTTATTTTATTTGTTTTTTATTATTCATTTATTATACTGTATATTTTTATTTACTCTTTTGGTTTTTCAATTTTAAGTAACGTAGTATATTTTTTTTATCATTATATCAAATTTTATTCTTATGTTTTTTTTCTTTTTGATTTTTGAATTGATTTTTATACCATCTTACTAATATTTTTGGTTTTAATAGTTTGTTAATTTGTAAATTATTTTTTTATTTATTTGATTTTGTTGAACTTTTTTTTATTTTTTTCAATTTTCTATTCTAATATATGTGATTTGGTAATTACTAATTTAATTTATTTTTTTCTTTTTTTTTGTTCATAAATTTTTTTTTTTTTTTTTTTAAAAACCTCAATGTTTAAAAAATTTTTTTCATGTCTGCATTTTGTTAAAAGCTCGGATTTTTTTATTTAATAATTTATTTTGGTCTGGGAATTAATGATAAGCTATTTTTCTTGAAAGCAAAATAAACCAAAAAAAAAATGTAAATAGTCAATCTGCCAATTAATGTTTTTAAAATTTTTAAATTTTGTTTAAATATCCCCACAAACAATATATTGGACATAAATGATAAAATTTTAAAATAATTAAAATCTAAATATTGTATTATGATTGTTTAAATAAAATTATAAAAATAATTTTTAATTTATGTGATTATGGAACTGAATAGTATGAAAACAATCATAGCGTTTTTTAATATAAGTTTAGATATGTTAAGACAATTTTAATTTCCCCTTAAGAAATTTAAATTTATTAAAAAAAAAATTTCTTTTTAAAGAAAAGTTAATTTAAATAAACTCAAAAAAAAAGATAAAAAATTTATTTTTTTTGTTCAATTAAAATGATAAAAAATTAAAAAAGATTTTTTTTTTTTATTTTTTGAAAAAATAATGAATGAATATATCATAGAAAAAATTTTTTATTTGAACAGAAAAAAAAAAAAGGTATCCAATTTTTATTGTTAATTGTAAAATTTTTTTAAATAATACATATATTATAAAAATACGATTTCTCCTTTGTCTTCTTTATAAAGAAAATTTAATTCAATCTGAAAAATTTCTAAAAATTTATAAAAATAGAAATTCAGAAAAAGATAAATGTGTGATTTTATATTGAAAATTTTCAACCGAATTTTTTAATAAAAATACAATTTAAATATATATATTTTTTTTTTGAAACTTTCTGTATTCAAATTTCACACACACAATATATATAATATATAAAAATAAATTATACATATATATAACCCAAATGAATTAAAAATTCATAAAAAAAATTTGGATAACAAATTTTTTTTTTATTATAATTTATTCAAAATTAAAACAACTATTAAATAAAAAATGGAGATAAACACAGCAAAAAAGGAAAAGTGATTAAAATTTATGATGAAAGTCTTAAAAAACTAAAATTTTAATTCAATCAAAAAATTGGTCTTATAGTTTAAATTATCTTATGTACAACAAAAAGATTTTTTTTTCAAAATTGGATATGAAATTATTTATTTTCAAATCAAAAGTACAAATGCAATTTTCTTTAGGTTTTTACAAAATGTTTTTTAAATATAATTAAAATAAATGATAAAATTTTTTCTAAAAATGAAAAATAAAAATTTCATAATTTTTAAAAAAATATTGAAAAAGATTTTGCCATTTAAAAATTTAAAACTAATTAAAAAAGAAAAATATATAATTTTCTTTATTAAATTCAAAAAAAAAAATCATCAAAAATATTTTATTGAATCATTCTTTTAAAAAATTATGTTAATATTTTGAACAAAATAAATTTAAAAAAGTAAATAAATTCAAATTAAACAATTTTAATTTTGAAAAGAAAAAAAAATTAGAAAAGAAAATAAATTAAAATTTTTTTTTAATAGGAAATTGTTTTTTAAGTTTTTAATTATCATTATTTCTTAACTTAAATTGAAAAAAAACTTTATAAATTTAATATCAAAGTAAACAAAATTTTTTAATTTAAAACTATTAAAAATAAAAAAAGTATTTTGAATTTAAAAAGCCAATTAAAAAAGACTTTTTAAGAAAAGACAAATAAAATAATTGATTTTAAAACAATTGAACAAATCTTTAAATAGATTTATTTATAAAATATAAAATATCGATATTTCTGACCCAAATTTTGAAAAAAATAAAAAAGAAAGTTATGAAACCTAGTTGATTTGTTCCACATTACAATTTTGTCAATCAAAATTTAAAAAGTTTTTAACAAAATTTTTAAATAAAAATTTCAACAATATGATCAAATTTGAATTTGTTTTAAACGAAATTTTTAAGTGCAATTTTGCTGAGAAAAACAAATTTTTAAAAAAAAATCAAATATTAACAAAA